GTGTGGATTCTGTCGATATAGCACCAACGAGCATGCATACGGTGGGCGTTAGATTGGGTGGAGAATGAAATCCTCAGGCATGCATTCCGCATCCTTCATATAAGTCAATGTTGCGTAAATAAGAACCTGTGCTGTACATAGATGAGTTGAACTGTACTCTGAAATAAAAAAAACACATCCTCTGAACCAAATATTGTGCGTGTGTGTGCGTACGAAGTATGATGCTTGGCTTAGAACGTAACTCGGTAAACAAAACACAAGCCAATTTTTTTCGAATTCGGTATTTAAAAAAAAAAACTCAATATTTAAAGAGCCACGATGCACACGCAAATAGGAGCCGGTGGTGCTCCTTGCTGGACGATGTCACGGGACAGTCTTCGCAGGGCCGCGTGCTGCCGAGCCCTGGCTCAGAACGTCCTCCAGCCTGTGATCAAGCAATCCACAGGGAGTGTTTAGGACTCACTCTTTATCCAATGACTTCAGATTAGAAATGAACCAGTTCATCAATTAATTTAATCGACTAGTTTGTGGGAAATTGCCCTGGCAAGCCGCTCTCACCCCCAGCTGGCGATGTCCCTGAGCCCTGCCCAGCACCTCCCGTCCAGCGGCTCACGTGGGAACAGAGGCGAATTTTTTTTTGGAAAGATGTTGGTGTTCTCTGATTAGTCGAGTAATATAACCGATAATTACTAGGGTGATCGATTGCTTGAGTGAAGTAAAAACATTTTTACTTAAACACGTGGTGTCTTTCCGGCAAAAGCATGACACCTAAAGCGCCAGCACAATGGATGTCTCAGAGTTATTGAAGATAAAATGATGCAAACTAGCCCCTACCCCCTTATCTCGCAACACATAACTGCTCGATAAACTTGCGGAGTTTATCGCATCGTATTCACAAGTCACTTGCAGAGTTTATTCACAAGTCACTTGCAGAGTTTATTCACAAGTCACTTGCAGAGTTTATTCACAAGTCACTTGCAGAGTTTATTCACAAGTCACTTGCGGAGTTTATCGCATCGCATTCACAAGTCACTTGCGTCCTTCTCGTTCTCACGCTCATGGTATAAGCATAAATAATTCGTTGTGGATTATAATGGGGGGGGGGGGGGGAATCTGGGATTATCGGATCCCTGCAGATCAAAGGAAAGTGTCAGGTAAGAGGGATAATATTCATCGACAAACTTTGCAGCCCTCTGTTGTAGTTATACTGCAGCGTGGTTAGGCTAAATGCTCTACAGTCTACACACCCGAGGGGACAGTCCACACCTATGCGCTTCTAAGTGCAGATGTCACGTTCCACTTCTTATTTCTACAAAAAGTAGGAGCGGAACAATGTTTAAATATGTCATGCTGGTACTTAAAGAAAATCAAAGATTGTTTTGTTTTTGTGCAAAAACGGTAAACCCCTAAATCAAGCGAGCCTGCATATTTCCTTTCTTACTTATAGGAAACTGGATTCATTTCAGTTTGATGAAATAAAAAATGTGTTTATCTTTGATTTAGATTTGCCTCTGGTATGTCACATTTAGAAAGGAGACCCGAAATAGAAAACAATTAAGGGGGGTTTTACATTGAAATTGGGTGATGATAAAACAGTCAAGGGGAGAAATTGCATTTTCTGTACAAGGTGACGCCCCCAATCCTATAACAGCCCCAGAACCCATCAACTTAATCTGGCACTGCCCACATTTGACCAGCAGAAGTTACAAAACTGCCCCTTTGGGAGTTTGTAACTGTGTGTGTGTGTGGCATTACAATGGATACCTTCCAGTGGGACCCATGGCCCCTTAAGCGGCCCCATTTGAGACCCTGTGGAAGAAAGCGTCTTCTGTGAATTTGCAAGTGATATTTGTACTGTATTTGCCATGTCTAATTTATGAGGTTTAGTCTGGGTCAACATGCTTTTAGTGATCAGCACAATGAACAAAGACATGTCCCTGTTGACATTGTTTTATCATAATATTTGCTCATGTTTATAATCAGCAGTGGAAGCCGGACTTTGTGTGGGGTGGTCACGGTTTTAAGGCGTGGTGGTGAGTGGATAAATCTGCCGAGTCCAACTTCTACGCCCACCGGAAGCCATACAGTCTCTCTCCAAACAAACAACGCGCCCTGTCCACAAGACACCTGCAAACTCACAGGGGTGTAGGAGTGTGAACACAATCTCCTGCTAGATGATCATATACCGCGTAATAATAGCAGCAGGATTGTACTGTACTCACGGCTGCGTGAATAATGAACGAGGACCACACAGAGACCAGACATGAGTCAACAATCACACCAGACGAATAGCAGTGGTGTAAATATTGTATGGAGAGGCAAACATTACGTATACAGAAGCAGTTAAAGAATGGAAGACTAATATTTATTTAAATATGTATATATACAAGGGTGGCCACACGATGGTTCGTGTCATGCGCTCTGCTCTGAATCTGGCAATCTGAGTCAGATCCCTGGTTTAAGAGTTTCATGGCCGGTCACCGTTAGTTTTATGTAGCGATCCTTCGAGTCCTCACTCAGATGCAGGCCCCGCCAATATATATGCACGGTGCCTTGAAATGTAGGAAAAGTACATTTAGAACTATACAGCTAAATTGTCTTGCTATACGGTGACTGGTTCAGGTGATTTGTTGAGTGAACTTCACTGAACTTTCAGCAGTTCCACTGCTCGATTATTTTTTCCGCCCGAGGACGACCGCTTGTGTTGCGATCGAAACGTCGTGAGATATTATTTTTTATTTTGTTTGATTCTTCTACCTTCGTGACTTTACCGAAATAACCAAAGAGTATGGATTCCTGCAGTCGCGAAAGCTTCAAATCAAGATTTTCACTGAACTTGGTTTATCTCGAAAACCAAAATGAATTGCCCTTCCCCTCTTGCAACACAGTTTCCATTCGCACAATTGTAGGCGTCTCGCCTACAGCCGGCCAGCCACGCAGCGTGAGGCAACGTGCGTGCGAGCTTTATTTAGCTGGCAGGGGCAGCACTTTGTATTTATATGCTCACCCAACCTCGCGCGAGTTTGCGGGGTCCCTCCCCAATGCATGCCCCAGAGACTCCGCGCCCACGCCTGAACCCATTTCGTTTTTGTTCACCTCAAAGTTAACTGTGAAATGTTTTTGTTCACCTCGAAGTTAACTGTGGAACGCATCACTGCTGCTCCGTGCAGCGACTCAAAATAACTTTGAATGATCTCACAATACACACGTTTTTTCCCCCTTTATTTTAACTTTAGGTACGTAATGATGGTCTGGTACACTATTAATGTTTACAAATTAACGAATGTATGTAATCCATTACATCATAATTTACAACTTGAGTTTCGTCCTCTGAGGTACACAAATTCAGGACTTATGTCGGGAATAAGAGTATCTCAAGATACTGCAATCGTGGAGAAGTGCATGTGATAGTGCGTGTCTCGAGTGGTGTGCTGTGGAGAGCGGTAGTGTAGCGGCTAAGAACCCGGCGAGCCGAGTTCGATATCAGTAGCGAATATTATGACCGATCCTGGGTCTCCCTTTGGTTGACTCGGTGTTAAATGGGTACCTGGTGTGGTGCGTAAAACATCGGCACAAGGCAGACAAAGGCGGCCGGGCATGGTGGTGGCCACCCATTCCCTCATGTGTCGTGCCGACTTTCATAGGTGCTCACAAACAGCATTTGTTAAAGTTATCTCAACTTCATTTACAGCACTCTGCCGATCCACTGCTGGATGAAGAACTCCCCGTGCATTGTCTGTCATTGGGGTTGTTTGATCATACTAGCACGCTCGGCTACACACGGTGCGAAAGAAGTTCAACATACATACTACATAGGTTGGCAAAAGCGTGGCCCGAGGACTTGGTTGAGATATCGCTGAACTCAGGATATTGGGTCCATAGGGCATGTTGCTAACCATCGCACCACGCTATCTCATATTGTTGCTAAATTACAGCAATAAAAACACACAGGCAGACGTATCAATTTAATTCACGGAGGCAGGGAACAACAATTGTGACTTAAAAGTGAAAGTTAATGAAGCTATAATATTGACATTTTTCCTTGATTGGTGTGGTCGACAAAGGAAAGCATGATTATGCACATTTTGTGGCCAGGTTCACGAAATAAGTTGAGTCATCATGCCGGGTGCGTTTGAGCAGCAGTCTGCTCAGTCTACAACCTGTTTGAGGTTCAGTGAATATTCCGGGACAGCGATTTATGAAGTTATAAGCTCTCGCCAGTTATTACAAACTCTTAGAATAACTCCACACAACCTTGAATGGCAAAATACTTAATTCTTACAATAACATTTAGCATTTGCAAGATAGCATCTAGACCCTACAACGTGTCTTGTTTTTACATCAAAGCACAGAGTGATGATGACATAATTTGTTAGGTGATGGTGAACAATATTTAGTTAGTCTTTTCAACCAAACCAATGATGACTAAGAGCTCGATGGCCTTTGCTTAAACAGCACGTGAAAGCCCCGCGTTTCAAATGATATCGATATCATTGAGCTCATGTTCAAATAAATCCACTGCAACTCAAATTCTCGACCTTTCAAAGATACATCTTCTGGAGGCACTTCCTCATTTGCATTGCAAAACAACCAACTATATGAGCTATGTAAGCCCTATGGAGCCCGGAGGCTTTTACAGTACTTCTGGAATGACCTGCGCACATTCTGGCACCTGTTGGGTTCGTCAAGCAGCATAATCTGAGCCAGTGGCCCCTCCAACAAAAACAGCCCAGGCAGCAGCGGAGCCGCACACGAGTGAATAATGCATCGGTGACTTTGACACCGCCCTTTGTAATGCAATGGCTGTCGGGTCATAAACGTGGCTTTTGTGTGGCTGCCACGGTGATTGGGTGCACATTGGGTACCTGGTCCCATCAGGCTGGGGGTGGGCCATCAACCCCCCCTGCCCCAGGTAGCGAGGGGCGGGGGGTGAGCGGCACTCCCCGAGCAAATGGAGTGGAGGCAGAGGTGTGGCCAAACCGGTTTGGGCTGATCTTTGTCTGTGCATGTCACGGCAGCTGTGGCGAAGAGGCACCCTACTGCCAGCACAACAAAAGTCACTCCGACACACTGCTGTAGGTAACAAACGACGGTCCACGTTCTGAGCTTGGTTAATGAATGTTTTGATTATTGACCTCCGGAAGTTGTGACCATCTCATAGTTAGGACAGACTGAAACGCGAATTTTTGTTTTTATGTTTTCGGCGGTTGATGAAGCTTGACTCCTAAGCCAGGTAAGTGTTCGCAGGGAGTTGTGTGTGTGCGTTCATTGTGTTGGTTCTGCTTGGGCAGCATTGCACACATGCTACCTGTTGAGTTAGAAAAAAACAAGTGTGTCAAGATACGTGTATTAGTTTAAAAGTGTATTTATTGGAACTTGACAAGTTATACAATGTATTACCATCCCAGTGGGACCATGTCAATGTTTCTAAAATGTAGCTACACTTATATAAAATGTCATTTGTGGAAAATTCACAACGAATATAAATTGTATCCATCGCACCTGTTAACCGCAGTACTTTATCCCATCAATAATAATGTTGCTGTAATCCTACCAACAGTTCCAAATAAATTTCTCCATTTACAGAGTTCCATCTTACGTAACACCTGATAAGATCTGAAGTTGTTCGTTGCTGTTTTGCACACCTGTCTGTAAAGCGACCAAAGCGTCACAATGTCACCCATGTGGACGAAATTCATAGCCGGGTACACTGTGTGTTTAGTATTTTAAATGCGAGAAATATCCCCAAATGGACACAAACTTGATGACGTTTCAGTTTTATTCTGTATGGAATTAACTTTTTTTTATTAAACGAGCGTCTATGTGTCTTGGTTTTGTATTGTATTCCTTGTGCCAAGTGGTGATTGTTGAAAATTGTAAGATGACAATGGGCCATTTAATTGTGTCGTATGAATGTACACTTTTATGGAAATATAGACGAGGCTTATTGTTGAAAATCAAAATGGATATTTGAGTTCACTACCTTTAAAGTTGTAAAACATTCTAGTCGGCAGCGACTATTCTTGCTGCCTGAAGTAATAAAGTATTTGGGAAGGACTGACTTCAAGAAAATATACCTTTTATGTTGTCTAATGTTGATATAGTAGTGCCGTTTAAACATGGACAGCAGCACGTGTGTCTATTCTTTAGTACGTTGGTGTTGCTGCCCTGAATGCGCTTGCGGTGTTCATGAGGGATGCTTGCCTCGATCGAACACCAGGAAACCACCCAACAGCGTTTGTTCAACAGGCCGTAACACTGCTGATGAGACTCGTGAAGTCGCAGCCAGCCCAGACTTTGCCAGCAAAAAAAAAATTCTGCTGGAAAGTATTTGTATCAAAGGCCCATAGGCTGAAATACCATCGTAAAATGTTAATATTTATTTTGTATATGGTGAAACAGTAGACTACCTCTTCTGTATATTATATTTCGATCCGTACGTAGCTAATGTTACTGTAGTCACAGAAACGTGTGTTCTACTTCTGTATACCAGCGGCAACGAGTCTAAATATGGCCTTAACGTGTCAACATCATCGCTGGGCACACGGACGTGAGTGCGTCATGCTGGCCACATCGTCCGGTTGTGTGCAACCTTGGGCCGAATAGGTACATGCCGGGTAAATAATCGCTCTATCATGATGCCGATGATATCGTCCTGCACATCTGCAGGTCATTTAATTCGTCCTTTGGTATGATGGCTTGAAAACAATACAGTCTGGATCTATATGGCGTCTAAACACAAACCGCATGTCAAAGACCCTGTGCAAAACAGCACGTGCAACATGCATATAACCAGGACATGTTGAGGCTTATTTCAAACAACGTACTCATGTTTCTGTTCGAGAATGGTACGTGCGGTGTTCATTGTTCTTTAATTGTTTGAAGCCATTATTTAAGTTTGTTTTGTTCAAACTTGCCCTGCATCTGGAAGCTATAGGATAAGTAATGTTTGCATGCCCACCGACTGGGATGAACACAGACGAAAGCCACGTTGTTGGATGCAATTTAGATTTGTTACCAGAGTTAATACTGCAAAACAAACACGACGTTCATTAATAACACTGCCTTATATCATAAATATAACATGCGCTCACATTTTGGGCAGTGAGCATGTCAAGGCAGGTAGACGAGAGGGCCCCAGGAAGGTTGATCTCGTCACGAGAGGAATATTTACACTTGGGCGCTGAAGAAGCTGGAACATTGTAATAAAATGTGCTCACGAACGGTTTTGAACGAGCAGATATTTCGTCAAAAAACCCCCATCGTTACTTCTGGAATTGTTTTCCTGATCACCTCATTAAATTGTAGCCCTTTAAATGATATGGTCTTAATCCATTTCTTTCAAAAATAACTAAATTGGACATTGTGAGGATATCAAGGACACTCCCTCTTCGTGCTTTGCCTTGAGGGGAATTGTAGTTCGGATTTACATTTCCTACAAGTGCAACACCGACCTGAAACGTCTGATACTATTAGATTTGGGTGACACAAGAAGGTTGATTGGTACAAACATTTTTGGGAATGTTGTAAATTGCAGTTGAGGTTTGCTATTGTTGTGGTGAGCACAGATAGTACAGTATACAACACACCTCACTGATTACTGCTGTTTAGTGTTATTTTGACGGATAGTCCTGTATGTAGCCCACGGTTCTCACGATGTTGCCAGACAATGTTCGAAAGGACCGGAAAAACCCAAAACGCAGCCACCTCATTTGAATATGCAAATAGCTTAAAGCATTTTCAGTTTGTTGAGAAAATTAACGGGGCGTTGTGAAGTCAATTTTCTGAGGATTTCGCCAGAGGAAGAGAGAATGTTGATCATTTGCCGTAGGAGATTAAATGTGCCTCCTTTGTGTCACCAAATCCCTGACCATCCTGCGTGTGACGAGGTGGGTTCAATTACAGAGCGACACAATGGTGGCAGACTGGCCCGAGCAGGCATCTATAAGAGTTTGTTAAAGGTGACTTGGTTATTACCGTTAATATATCCCGCTTATGTAAAGTCTAAGCTTCATTGAACTGTCATAAGTCCATGTATTTTTTTTATGTGGTGGGGTAAATTGTAGGTAGCCCACCTTCACCAACTTGTCTGCCAAATTTGGCAGTTTGAGCGAGGCAGACCTTCATGCTTAGAGTTAGGATTAACTAAATTTTGTTCATGTACTTTGCTCACAAAAACACTTAATTATCCTATTACCATTTCAGTGTTTCATCCTTAAAGTTTACTTTTGTGGCCAATGTTTACTATGTATACAGCAGCGTGTGTCAATTTAGCCCCATCCTCAAGATGAGCCATGATAGTGACTTGGCCCAGCGGTGACTCGTTGGTCGCTCGTTGCAGAGGTTCGTGGTTCGAATCCAGCGGCCGCCCCGATCAATACCGGGGTGCACATTACATGTAAAAATATTCGCCGACTGCTTGACAACGGACGTTGAAGATCCTGTCACGTGATACGTAAGAGTAAGCCATTGTGCACCGGCGTCAGGGTCCAAACTTGCCACTTGAAAACTTACCCAGTTGGCATAAAACATAGCAACATCGGCCTGACTCCAACAACTTGGCAGAACCTTCCTGCGAAAGAGTCAAGAGACTCTCTGAGGCTTTCCTTGGTAAAAAAAAAAGTGGAATAATGAAATAATATGTATTGAGCACTGTGGCACAAGCACGTTTAAGCATTGAGATCCTAACTTTTGAGACCAGCGACTGTACTGTATATGTAGGCCAAGTCCAATGGTGTAATATTTACACAACAGGGACTGTTGGCGAAAGATCCTCTATGAACTGGATTGATTTTTTTAGTTGAACTTGTCTCGACTCCAGCATCCAAGGCATTCCTCTCAGCCGTGGCTCCTGGTCATGTCGAGTGAAACGTGAAATGTTTGTCTGCACCAATTGTTGGAGTTTTGAGCTGAGCCTCTACCGGTTTACATTACCTTAGCTCCATTTTCTTAGCTTTCTGCACAAGGGCTTTTTGTGAAAAATGTGCGCCCTCATGCAGACACAGACCGTAACAACTACGTTGCCTTTCACGGTGGTGCTGTTATAGAGCTCTCATGCGTATTTGTGTTGTTGCTGCTCTTTGTTGTTTGGTACGATAGCCGACATTTTAAATGTCTACCTTCCTCTGAGGCCATGGAAGCCCCGTGCACGAGCGGGTGTGTGATTATTTCAGTGATCAGCCTTGTACACCGGCTCGAATACGCAACCAAAACCCCGTTGGTCTTCTATTGTACTCTGACGGTAAAAATGGACGGACGGTGCGGGCTGTGAGGATCCTGGAAATGATGGGAAGTTGTTGTGAGCCGGCCCCGTTGTTTTCCAGGGGAGATTCACACGACGATAGAATATGCAAATATGTCCAGGGAACGTTGACGTCACCGATGTATAAATTGACTTCATCGACGGCTAACGTCAGTGGCGGGCGATGTCCGAACCGGCCCTCCGGTGTGTCCCGTTTACAAAGTGACGCCATCCGATGCCACGGGCCACCGCTTTTGGCGAGGGGGGGGGGGGAAGCGACCTCAAGTTTTCCATAGCGGTCTTAGCGTTATTATTTATTTTTTGAAAATTCTAAATTTCTTATCTTGGCGCAACTTTCAGATTTTTCGGCACAATCGCTCTGCACTTCCATGCAACTTCGCCTTCCTCCGTTTCCCTTCGACTGCCAATGTAAGATGTTAAAGTAATGTCGCGAAGGCAGCGTAACGGAAATGTCAGTATCTCGCTGATTTCCAGGATATCGTGAGCCCAAATTCAGTTCCATACTCAGAATGTCCAGGAGAGAGAGAGAAAAACACCTCATCAGGACGAGTCGTGTTGCATGCATGAAGATGAGTGGATGACATTCGTTTCACAAGAGTGACATTCGCCAGTTCTCAGGAGCAATGACCAGAGGAAAAATGTAAGCACGTCGTGACTTAACACCGTAAAATTGTGTCCTAGCGAGGCGCTGCTCCACAACGCAAGACCCAGGAAAACAACATTCCTCTTTGAAGTTCACCTGAAATTTGCGAAGGGTTAATATTTGAAGAGAGGAGAGGACTCTTCTGTTCAAAACAAGAGACGTCTCTGCGTCTGTTTCGCGTTTGACGCGTTTCGAGGAGTCACGTGTGTGGGGTCTTTGCAGCCACCCAGCCCGTGCGAGGAGGAGATGGAGCGATGATGGATGGTTGTTTATGCGCAAATAAGAACCACGCTTCCGGACGTGCGTTCAACACGTTGAAGCACGGACA